CAGACGGGTCAAATTTTGAGTAGAAAAAATGACTCAATCTGTTGCGGGTCGGAGGAGGCGAGTCGGACTGAGCGATTAAAATTTGGAAACTAAATAATTTTACGAATTAATCACAAAACTAAAAAAAAATAGACCACTAAATTGTTAAATATACAATCTTTCTCAAGTACATATTTAAGGTACAACCATTGTTAACTTATTTAGAAACATAAAAAAAAATTCTGAGACATTATAAAACAAAAATTTCTTCATACCCGCATAATAATTTGATCTTGATTCTGTGACATTTTATATCATCAAAGAAAAAGACTTATCGATCTATTTGTAGATAAAACAACAAAAATAGTATCCGTGTTTTTTAAGCGCAAATCAAAAATCTAGTTTACCTTTATTATATAATATCAAAAAACTTGAATGGTTGATTTTCAATGTTTCATGCATCTTGGTTGAAAATTTTGTTATTTAATATAGTGGGTCCATTGGTGGATCTAAAAACAATAATTATCCTGGGCAGAATTACAAATACAGGTCAATCAATATGTTCGTATATTTACAATTTTAACAAGGGTATTATCAAATTTTATACAAAATAATAATAATTTTAAAAATATCTGGACGGCAGCTGCCCCTCCTACCCTAAACATAAACTCGCCACTGAGTGAGCCCCATGTTGTAATATTGGCCAGATGCGACCCTGAGTCAAGATGAGAGATGAAGCACGATGCAAAGTCAGGTTAGTGATAGCTTTTTTCTTTTGGAAAGATAGTGATATATAGCTTATTAATTTAGTTTTGCTAGTTTTTTTTTCGCTAAATAATTTTGCTAGTTAACGTGTTCCATGCCTGAAGGCGTTATAAATCCAAACTACAAACTGCAAATCTTTGTTAACTCTTATTTGATCAATAATAATATACTAGTTATGTTCTATGTGTTATGAGTAATGATATGTTTTTGTACGAAAATTGGTATGATTTTTAGACGAAATTTTCATAATAATATACTAGTTATGTTCTATGTGTTATGAGTAATGAAAAAAAAAATAAAAAATTTAACTGTAAAAATCGTGAGAGTTTTCAAAGAAGTATGAAAATAAAATTTGAAGAAATTTCTCTTTTTAACACGATTTTTATAGAAAAACAGGAAAATTGTGTTAAACATAATGTGGATTTTGTAACACGTTATTAATTGATTAAAAAGACTTAAACCGATGAAAATTAAAAGGTTAGGTATATTGGTCGGAAAATGATGTTTAAGGACTATTTTGTATATTTATTTTAATTTTCACTGTATAAAGCACAATAATACATTACAATAGTGGTAGATGATACTGTGGAAATAGTTGTAGATGTTATTGTGAGTTGTATAATACACTCTTGGTTAGTTACAAGGGTTAAATCAACAAAAGTGAAAAGTTATAGAAACTATTGGAATTACTAGTACTACTAAGTAAAACGTGTATTACTTGTATTACGTGTATTATTGGATCGAGTATGTACCAAAGATCTTGGACAACTTAAATTCTGTAAACTGTTAACTAATAGTTTTTCAGGGAATTTTATGGCTTCTCCTATTACAATCATATGTTTTGACTATGGAGGAAGTTACATCAAGGATGGGGCTGAGATAAAGTGGATCTCGGGAGAAAATCAAATTCACACTTTAGTGATGAAAACATCTTTGGAAGAGGTTAAATATTTTGAATTTGTCAAGCGTATATGCAGAAAGAGTAAGGCAAATGGAGATGGGATGGTGAAGATTAGTTACTTTCCATTGGTATTGTATTCGAACAAGCCATCATATATTTTGTGTGATGAAGACGTTTTGGGTTATCTCGTGCAAGTAAATCATGATAAATGTAGAAGTGTTTTTTACGTGTGGAGATCAGCAGTGACACGGATGATACATATGGTGGTCTGCCGCTTTCAGAAGATGATGATGAAACTAATGATGATAGCTATGTTGGTCTTTCTGATTGAGAGGATACTGATACATATATAATTGAAGAAGATGGAACCGAGGAAGATGGGACCTAGAAAATGAGACTGAGAAAGATGGAGCTGAGCAAGATGGAACAAAGCATGATCATGAGATGGATGGCATGGTCACTCTTTACACAGCTGAACAACATGAATACTTTGAGATGCATGAGGATTTTAAGCATGGGTATGAAGGAACAGAAGTTGGAATGGAAGTTGAAGCTACAAGAGCAGGAGTTAAAGCCACAACAGTAGTAGAAGATGAATTGGATGATGGTCTCGATTTGGCTAGGGGTCAAGAATTAAGAACTCAGACAGCCATGCAAGTTCTAGTTCAAAGGGGTGCGCATAAGAATGGTTTTGAGTATGACACAATTAAATCTGATACTGGGAGAGTTGTGGCAAGATGTCGAGGAGCCAAAGAAGGTTGCAAGTGGTATTTGCGTGTAGCAAAGCTTAAGAATTCAGATATTTGGACGGTTAGAACTTACATCAAGTCTCATACATGCTCAGTGGTAACTTCAAGTACCCTTAGAAATAGAAGGAGAGGCACACCACAGGTTGTTGCATCTGTTTTGGGTGAAGAATATCCTGGTAGATATGACAGACCAACACCAAAGGATCTGATCAGTATGGTTATACACAAGGTTGGTGTTGATGTATCATATGCCACAGCATGGAGAGGAAAAATGATGGCTGCTAATGAAGTGTGAGGTACTCCGGAAGAGATTTTTTCTATGATACACTCCTATATGCACATACTTAAGTTGAAGAATCCTAACTCAGTAAGTTATGTTGAAGTGGATGCGGTGAAAAGATTTAAGTATCAATTTTTCGCATTTGGAGCTTCCATAAAAGGGTCGCAGCGATGAGGAAAGTTATTATTGTGGATTGAACACATCTTAAGCATGTTTATGGTGGCATTCTGCTTGTTGCGACGGCTCAAGATCCTGATTGTCACCATTACCCTATTGCATTTGGTGTAGTTGATGGTGAGAAAGATGAAAGCTGGATGTGGTTTATGAACAATTTGAGATCAGTGATATCAGATGTAGACGGATTGGTGTTTCTTTCGGATAGAAATGGGAGCTTGATCAAGTCAATAGGTGAGGTATTCCCTACGACCGCACATGGGTATTGTATATGGCATTTGTCTCAAAATGTCAAAGGACATGTATTCAACAACAGAGACGTTTGTGCAATCAAGTTTAGAGAATGTGCATATGCTTATAGAGTGGCTAAGTTTGATGGTCTCTATGCTGATTTTCCAGAAAGTATCCTTCTTCTGCCGAGTATCTGGAGAAGAATGTTGAAGTGAGAAAATGGGCAAGATGTTACTTTGAATGAGACAGATACAATGTTGACACAACCAATGCAGCAGAATCTATTAATGGGTTCTTCGGGAAGCGAGGAAATACTTCATGCTACCGATGATTGATATTATCATTAAGAAAATGGCTAAATAATTTAACAAACATAGGAAGAAAACAGCTCAAATACCAGCCACAAACAAGCTTGTGCCTACAGTGGAAAAGGAATTGTCAAAAAGATGTGTGGAAGCGAGGTGTTTAGATGTTGTTGAGATAAACAGCTTCCACCTTGAGTACAATATCAATGGCAGTGACGGAAAGGTTTATACGGTTGATTCGGCTAGAAAAATTTGCAGCTGCAGGTGCTTTGATATAGAAAAAATCTCGTGTGTTCATGCAACAGCTGCTGCCAAATTCTTGAGCGTTGGAACGGATCTCCATCTACAAGACTTTTGTTCAAAATACTATACGGTGGAGTTTTGGACGTTGGCATACTATAGGACGATTTATCCTGTGCCACATCAGTTTGAATGGGTTATACCAGATAAAATTCGAGCACTTAAAGTTCAACCTCCATTATATGATAAAAAGAAATGACCCACTCAGAAGCAAAGGTTTCCATCAGCTGGAGAATCTCGTGGACGAAGAAGAAGGCGAGGAAAGGGAAGGGGAATGAGCAGAGGAAGGAGAGGCAGATGTTTGTATGAGTATTTTGAGTCCGCAAGTACTTCTGCCACCGCCGAGTAGCAAGGGTCTCTTGTGATTTGAAATATGTGCAATATGAACTACTAGGTACTGCTGGAACTACTATGTTTAATATGAACTACTAGGTACTGCTGGAACTACTATGTGTAATATGGACTACTAGGAACTACTTCGTACTACCCTGAACTACCAAAAACTACTATGTATTACTATTTGTTATGCATGTTTCTAAGAACCTTAATTTTCTTCTTATTATTTATTTTTTAAAGATGTATCTCATATATTACGTGATTATATGTCCATGCATGTGTATATTTTTCAAACTAGACATAAAATACTCTTACTATCTCAAGTTGGTAGAAAAATTCTCATTTCAATAGCAAACATCCTTATACTTCCTTGTTAATGTCTTGATGGGAAGACCATAATAAGATGAATTTCAGAAAACACATATTTTGTAAGAACATTTCTGCCAATGTGTTATATACAATCTAAAAATGTCTAAATGAATCAGTATTACTAATTAATTTAATTTAATTTAATGATGTTGTATTACTAAAAAAATGCTATAATCTGAAAAAAAATATTACTATGAAGAATGAAATATTACTACTATCTTGAGTATTACTAGGAGTAAGATAAATATTACTTTAATATTCAAACATGTTTGTTTAATATTATCTTTTACACGTTTTTGACATGTGTCTTAGGTTTTTTTTTTTTTTTGTTTGTCGAAGTGGTTACAATATTTTTGTGTTAGTAGTACCTAATAAACCTAGTAGTACAAATTTGCTTTCTTAAGACACGGATTGCCTTGTCTTCAATTAGACCAAACCTGCTTCAAGACAATCACACAATATAAATTAAACATAATATCATCCTACATAATAGCATTCAAGCCGATATAGCATCCAAAAACCAACAAAAATATAGCATCGTACATAAGTTCACAACAAAGCCGAGACAAATATTAAACATAGCATCCTAAATAAGTTCACTAAACCTCAGTTCAAGGTTTCTTCTTGCGCCCTTCAATCTCATCGCTGTCAGCTTCAGTGAAAGGAGAGGAAACCCACCGTGATCGTGCATGTATCCTTGTTTTATGTTCTGCAGTTGTGAACTTCTTCGGGTCAGTAGAATTTCTCGGTCTACCCCTTAGCTTAGGAGCATTCTTCCTCACCGCCACTGCCTTAGGCCTATGCTTAACCCCAGTAGGAACAGAAAGTCCCTCAGCTCTATCAACAGCAACATCAGGAGCTCTCTCATTTTTCCCATCAACATCACGAGCTCCCTCATCCGTCTCATCTACAGCAGGAACATCATCATCTGTTTCATCTACAGCAACAGCATTAGCTCCCTCGTCCGTCTCATTTACAGAAGAAACTTCATCAGCCGGCTCATCTACAACAAGAGCTCCCTCATCTACAGCAGGAACTTCATCAGCCGTCTCATCTACAGCAGAAGCTCCATCATTGCTCTTGCAAACTGTAAGAATCCACCCTTGTTTCGCTTCCTCTGTGTATTTATCAGCCTCATCAAACCACGAAAGAACCAATCTTATACGTGGTGTCCCTATATGTGATGATCTCCTTACGGTTGCTGACTTTGTTCTACCACGTGGTGGTGTAAAAGTTTCCTTGGGTACTTTCTCAGCCTACTTCTCTAGTTTCTCAGTCTTGTCATCCTCATCCTCAGAAACTTTATCTTTCTTCTGAGCCTCTTCTTCACCTTGAGTTTCAGGTTCTTTATCTTTGTTTTCCTCAGAATCCTTATCCTTCTTTTGACCCTCTTCTTCACCTTAAGCTTCAGGTTCTTTATCTTTTGTTTTACTCAGAATCCTTATCCTTCTTCTTAGCCTCTTCTTCACCTTGAGTTTCATGTTCTTTATCTTTGTTTTCCTCAGAATCTCTATCCTTCTTATGAGCCTCTTCTTCAGCTAGAGCTTCAGGTTCTTTTTTTTTTTTCCTCAGAAACTTTATCTTTCTTCTGAGCCTCTTCTTCATCTTGAGTTTCAGGTTCTTTATCTTTGTTTTCCTCGGAATCCTTATCCTTCTTTTGAGCCTCTTCTTCACCTTAAGCATCAGGTTCTTTATCTTTTGTTTTACTCAGAATCCTTATCCTTCTTCTTAGCCTCTTCTTCACCTTGAGTTTCATGTTCTTTATCTTTGTTTTCCTCAGAATCCTTAATCCTTTTTTTTAGCCTCTTCTTCCTCATCCTCAGAAACTTATTCTTTCTTCTGAGCCTCTTCTTCATCTTGAGTTTCAGGTTCTTTATCTTTGTTTTCCTCAGAATCCTTATCCTTCTTTTGAGCCTCTTCTTCACCTTAAGCTTCAGGTTCTTTATCTTTTGTTTTACGAAGAATCCTTATCCTTCTTCTTAGCCTCTTCTTCACCTTGAGTTTCATGTTCTTTATCTTTGTTTTCCTCAGAATCCTTATCCTTCTTTTTAGCCTCTTCTTCCTCATCCTCAGAAACTTTATCTTTCTTCTGAGCCTCTTCTTCACCTTAAGTTTCAGGTTTTTTATCTTTGTTTTCCTCAGAATCCTTATCCTTCTTTTGAGCCTCTTCTTCACCTTAAGCTTCAGGTTCTTTATCTTTTGTTTTACTTAGAATCCTTATCATTCTTCTTAGCCTCTTCTTCACCTTGAGCTTCATGTTCTTTATCTTTGTTTTCCTCAGAATCTTTATCCTTCTTTTGAGCCTCTTCTTCAGCTTAAGCTTCAGGTTCTTTTTTTTTTCCTCGGAATCTTTATCTTTCTTCTGAGCCTCTTCTTCAGCTTTCTCTACCTCTCCTTTTTTCTCAGAGCGCCCCACATTCCAGTCAAAATCCATGCCTTGGTACTCGAAACCATCATTGTTCTCGTTCTCCTTCCTTTTCATTTCTTTATCAATGCCATCAAGCCTCTCTTCCATTGTTGTTGGGGTCAAAACGTTTATCTCGAAATCAACGTCTACGATTACTTCTCCTTACATTCTACGAAAGAATCAAAGGCCGAGAAAACAAGAAAGAAACCAAAATCGAGCAACCATCCAGCTCGCCAAACGGGCGAACTGGCCGCACATGTGACCAGTTCGCCCATTGGCGAGCTGAACGCATTTGTCCAGCTCGCCCATGAGCGAGCTGACCACACATGTGACCAGCTCGCCCATGGGCGAGCTGAACACATCTGTCCAGCTCGCCCATTGGCGAGCTGAGCACATCTGTACAGCTCGCCAATGGACGATCTGAATTGAACTATCTGTGCCCCTCGACTCGATCGTACTCTGAACCGTGATCGGAACGTCTTTCATTTCGTCTCAATCCGATTTACCATTTAAGTTTTACGATAAAAACCGTAAAAGACGCGTTAAACTTCGCGTGAATAAAACGGCAACGGTTAAATGAAACACTGAACATTTCCAAACTATACGATTAACTCGAGATTGTTTAATAAAAACCGTAAAACACGCGTTTTAGTAAAACCTCGAGTAAATCGTATAAAACGGCAACGGTTAAACGAGACACCAAAAATTGCCAAACTATACGATTAACTCGAGATCTTTTATAAAAAATTGTAAAACACGCGTTTTTTGTAAAACCTCGAGTAAATCATACAAAACGGCAACGGTCAAACAAAACACTGAACATTGCCAAAATATACGATTAACTCGAGATGTTTACCTAAAAACGTCGTCGTATAAGGAAACGATCTTGTCTAAAGTCGTAAAATGGCTCGGAAGATCCTAAAACGCGATAAAAGCCCACTCGCGACTTTAGACAAGATCCAGCCCAAAGATACAATGACGGTTTGCCAATTTTCCACAGGAGCAGACAAATGTCAAGATTGAAGATAAATAGAAGTTTTCCGCAGAAAAATGGAAAGATCGAGATAAATAGAAGATTCTGATAAGTGCGAATCACAGCGGAAAAAGAAAGACCAACCTCCTAGAGAACGAGTATATAAGCATCAAAATGAGGTCAAGAGGGGGTAGAGATTTTTAGACCTAGAAAACGGCTGTTAGCTTAGGCAAATTTAGGACTTAGGTGGCTAGACTAGCAAGTCCGATCCTTCAAACGTTTTGTCGTCTAAGTTCCGCGATTCTATTTGTAACAGCTTTTCAATCTCTTTATCAATAATAGCCTTTGCGCAATTTCTTCATATGTATTCTCTTCTCTTTTTTCGTTTTAAGTGTGTTTTCGCAGAGATCCAGAACCTCAGGAAAATTCGGGTTTTCCCTAAGTTTCCATATTTGACGGAAATTGACGGTGTGAATTTCGGTTCCCACAATTGTCTTCTGCTTCTTGCCCTTCCTTACTAACCTATACTGGCATTCTTCAATGGACGCAAGCCTCTTCTCTAATTTCATCTAATTAACCCTCTTTTTAAAAATATTATGGCTCTTTTCCGTGACACCAAGCCTCTTGTCCATTTTCGCCACCGTCATACACATTTCACTCAAATGAGTCTCTTCAATACCTTTCTGAAGGTCTTCCAAACCATGACAGGAGGAGGATGCTTCTTCATTCACTTACCTTTTTTCTTTCTTCTTAGGAAACTCTCTTGTAGCTACATCTAACTAATATAACTCTTTCCAAAAGATAGACTTCTCCGATAGACTTCTCCTTAACAATAGGCCATGTGCTCAACGCATTGCTTACTCCTTCCTCATTTTCATAATCTGGCTCCCCTTCCAGTATGTGCGCTAAAAGGGATTCTTCGTCAATTGTAGGAACCAGAACACTTGTAATAACCTGAAAATAAAACTAACACAATCACTTAACACACACTATAGTATTCAACTCACTTAATAAAATCAATAGGAACCAGAAAACTAAACACATACCTTTCTTTCTCCAATGGCGGCATACAAATCCTCAAGGGGATAAACCTTCATGCTGTTATTTTGGAACCACCTCTTGCACATCCTCGGACAGTTACTCGTACAGCCAGTTACACCTTCTCTGAATTCTGCACTAAGAGTTGGGATACACTCAAATGCCAGGATATACAAACAACATATGACAACAATAATTTGTCAAAAAAGCAATAATACATACTCGTCAAAACAAAATAATCATACAACAAATTGTCAAAAGAAAGCAATAATTTACCTCTAAAGAGACTATGAACCTGGGGAAGTTGACATTGCTTTTAGGTTTCCCTTTGAGTTTCTTCATCACGAGATTAATGGACTAGATCGCATCATCAAACGTCAAGCGACCCCAAGGAAAGGTTTTACAAATTTCCACACCTTTGACGATTCTTAAAATGAAAGAGTCAAATGGGGCATTAGACCTTGCCTTCGCTCTGATAAATGTGCCTAGGAAGTAAAGCACGGCCATCCTGAGTCGATCCCCACACGCTAGCATACTCAACAGCTTCTTCTTCACAGATTCCATTGTTATCTCCTTATGCGAGCCAAAATGCCTATTTACAAAATCAAAGCCCCCAACTTCTCATACTTATCCGGGTAGTCACGGCAGTCCAAGCCCGAAATGAGTGCATGCTCTCTCATTGAATACCGGGCACACCATTAACCGCAAACCAGGCTGTGTCCTCTCTCTCTTCTAAGGGAGTCGTGTGCAGTAGCAGCGTCCACATACCCAACAGCCTCAAGATTTGTTCATCGGGCATGTGGAAAATGTGGCAGAACTGAGGGTGGTTTTCGAACCACTCCTACTCAAGCTTAAATTCCTACAAGAACTCCACTGTGGAGCTCACATAGCACTTGCACTGTATCTTACATGACTTGGTAAATTCCGTGTTCTTGAAGTATAGCTCATCGGGTGGCAATGGTTGGCATTCCTGCAAACCACATAAAAATTATATTAGCATTTTATTTATTAATTTGTCTTAGTATAACCAGTAATACTAGTAATGCCCCAACAATACTAAAACCAAAGAAATGTGATGATCAGTTTGAGTCTGAAATGTTGAGAATCAATACCTGAAATGTTGCAGAATGATGATCAGTATGAATCTCATTTCCATCTGAAAGCTCTTCAGCTACTGGGGCAGGGTTGTGTTCTTGAACCTTTTCTCTTGTGGATTTTTTTTTGTTTTTTATGCCTTTTCACTCCCCGCTTACCACCGCCTGCCATTATCCTATAACAACAAACAGTGGATTTGTCATTATCATAAAACAACAAATCTATATCCTCTCGATATCCTATAACAACGAACATTCAGTTAGAAATGAAACACTCAGCATTCAATAATTGTCTTATTCATTTTTACCACTAGGATTTCAATTAAGTTACACAAAGATGAAACAATTTTGACCAATACCAAATCGATTCAACAAAAGAATAATCTTTAAAAACAAAATTAAGATTCAAAACTCCAAAATTCCTTCATTTCTTTAAGCCAAACAAGCACACATCATATATCCCAAAGAAACCCACATCAAATTGATTTGAATCTATGAAAAAGGTATAAAAAGGCGTTACCTTTTACACGCCGAGAATGGTGATGGAAGATGTTACAAGAGGATAAAATAAACCTCATGCCGGAAGAAAATGGTGATTCTGATGATGGACAAGAGAATACGCGGTGGTTTTCGGTGGATTGCGTTGGGTTTCGGTGGATTTCGGTCGATTTCATCGAGTTCGTCGGGTTCTAGGTTTTCCAGGGATTAATTTTCTTTCGATTTAGGGGAAATGAGAAACACTTAGGAGAGAAAGAGAGGGTTTGGTCCGTTTGGGAGAGAGACACGGAGAAAGAGAGGCTGTGGGAGAGAGACACGCGGGTCACGTCCACGGATCCGGGTCGTGTGAGTCGGGTCAAATAGAAACATGTTGGATTTGTAAATATTATATTTCATTAAGGGCAGTTTCGTTTTTTTTTACCATGTTTTTGATTAAAATATGATTAAAAATATAGTTTTTTTTTTTATTGCTGGGGTAATATAGAATACACATGGGAGTGAGTGGGTCATCTGAGAATTTCATTCGTTTAATCATCTGATTCTCGTTCCCAGATCTGTAAACTGAGCCCTCTTTATTGTTGTTTCTTCTTCAGTTGTGTTTGGAATCATTTTGCTCAGGGAAGGTTGATCATAAACTCTCATTGTTTTAAGTTTCTTGGTCTTTTGAGTTATTGTTCCTGTTCTTTCAAGTTATTGTTATTGTTCTTGTCATGGAGTTATGTGTAATGTAAGCCAATATGTATATTGTTGTATTAATGAGTTGTTGTTATGTTTCATGTTACATGTTCTTCTTTTGTTGTTCTTGTTATTGATTATAGTGTGTCATTACTTGCACTGTGAACATATACCAAACCTTATTCTCATTGATGTGTTGTTTTATCATAATTTCAGGAACATTGTGGAGCATTGGAGCATCCGTGTGTCACAAGTTGTTGTCTCTTCTATGGGTCAAATGTTGTTTTCTCTTCCATGTGTCAAATGCTGTCGTCTCTTTTTCTTGTGAACTCTTGTTGTATTGTGTCACAGGTCTTGTATTCTTGTAGAAATGTGTCACATGTCTTGTGTATATTGAGCACCTAAGTCACAAAATTATATATATCATATCTTGTAATGAAAATGTAATGAAAGCCTTCTCATTCTTTTGTTCTTCCTTCTCTTTCTACAAGTCCCTTCTCTTTCAAATTCTTTCTAACTTCAAACTATCTCTTTTGCTTTTTACGTTTCTTAGTCTTCAAGTTCCAAAGTCTCTGAAAGCATTTGTATCTTCACATACAACAAAAACAATTTTCATCTCATGGCTTCTTCGTGTACTCTCTTATTTCGAATGCTTATGTTAAATTATTCTCGTTTATTTTACTAATTTTTATTTTAATGTTTTTATTTAAAAAATCTATATTTAAAATGTTATTTTTTATTATGTTTTATTTAATCAAAAATTTTAAGTTGACTAAGCAGGACACCTAATGATCAAAACAACAAGGTCAAAGAATCATTTGTATAAAGTGAATCTACAAGCGGAGAGTACCAAGTGTCGGCAAGCGATTTCATCAACTCAGTCATTGAGATGGCACGCTAGGCTAGGGAGACTTGCATTAGAATAAAAAAATGTTTAATATTTTTTTAAAAACCTCTAATTAGGAGACTTGTATTGGAACACATAAATGTTTGGGTCTCTTCATGTTGTCTCGTAACTCACATTTACTACTAAAAATAATTAAAAAGATCAAGAGACCCTAAATAGTCTTTGGGATAATCATGTTCTTAGGACATCACCAATTTTACTCGATTTTTCACTCTAAATTAGAGTTTAGAGTAAAATTGCTACAATGGTACTCTATCTCTCACACTATAATAGAGTATAAAATAGGTTTAATCTATATATAGAGCAAGTTGTTTTTTCTTTCTTCATCATTCTATTTTTCACTCCAAAATAAAGTACCGTTGAAATAGAACACAACTCTATTATAGAGTTACTCTATTTTGAAATGAAAAATAGAGTGAACTATTGGAGATGGTAGTAGGGTGGAGTTTTTTGTTTCGGCTACGAACTGTTTCTTAGCTTTTATCTTAAAAAAAAAACCTAAAAATTGTCTCTTAAATAAGAGATATAAGAACCGTCTCTTAGCCGAAAAGTGTAAAACAAAAAAAAAATTCAAATCATGAGTTAAGAACATTAAATTAAAAGTTCGGATTAATCATACTCTAAATATTATGGAGCCCCGTAATTAACAAGTATTGGCGATATTTTTTTTTGACAACAAGTAGGCCTGCTCAATCTGGTGTTTGGTCCGGTTTCGGTGCGGTTTTTGGTTTTCGGTTATTCAGTTTATAAAAATTAGCTACCATATTGGAACCATATTTAATTTAGTTTTGTTCGGTATTTATACTACCAGTTTTCGGTTTATTCGGTTTTATACCAAATAGCATTATTATTTGATTTGGTTTCATATTATATGAATTAAAAAAAACATATTGTCAAAACTATCATTTATTAAAATAATCCTAGGTGTTCATAAATATAAAATGTGAAATTAACAACAAACAAAACGACCACCGATTCAATTTTGTACAACTTTTCTTATTTTCTCTTTGTTCTTCCAAATAAATTACATGGTACAATCTAATTTCACAATTTCTTACAACATGCAAAATCAAATCAAATTTAGATAAGAGTTGAAGAAAATAAAATAAAAATAAAATTATTAAGATATATCTTTACAAGGAATAAAAAAGTTAAAAAAAAGATTATTCCAAGAAAATAAATGGTTATATAATATATATATTTATATATTTTTTCTTTCATCGGTTTTGTTCAGTTTATTCGGTTTAATCGGTTATAAACCTAACCATATGCAAATCCTACGGTTTTTTATAAAATCATATCCATTCGAGTTATATGGTATATACCAAATCTAAACCATATTATCTATTTCAGTTTGGTACGGTTCGGTATTACCATATTGAACAGTCCTATTGGCTGGTTGTTTCACTGATACAATAAATCTCAGCTACGTGATGGAAAATGACAATCATGTAATAGAAGTTTATACAAAATGTTATACTTTTCGTTTTTTGCAAAATATTTGACGTTTCTTAAAAAATCCATATTAGACGACATTTTTAATTTTTAATGTAAAATTTATGACATTTTATATTATATGTCATTCTATATTCTGTATATATTTTATTATTGATTGGATTGTAGAAAATAGATAGATAATGATATTTTATTTAAAAAATAAATACATGTTTTTATTAATTTAAGTGGATGACATAAAACGTCAACTACTAGAAAATGGAGAGTGTTATGTAACATGTTAGTTAGTTACGATGCAAACATCTTTTGAATAAGTTTCAAAAAAAAAAAAATTCTTTTGAAAAGTTCAGACATAAGTCAACCTACCAATCATAAAGGCCCATTATAATCGTTGAGAAACATCAAATCTCAGCGCCTCAAAATTCCTCTTGTTCTTATTGTATCCTCTCCTCTGATCCATACCAGTATTGTTTTTTCCTTTTCTTCAAAACAAAAAGTATATAGGATTGTTGCATGCACGGGAGAGCCAAACCGGCTAAAGCTTGGTCCTCATGAATCCCAAACGTCATCATGGTTCGATATTACAGCTACACCTCTTTCTCCTACTCTTCTCTGGCCACGCTTTGGCTCAAGCCGATGACGATGGTTCAGATATGTATGGAGAAAGCTCTCGGTTTGACCCAAACATGGCAATATTCATGATCGCCCTTGTCGGTGTTTTCTTCACTCTGGGGGTTTTGTCCATGTATATCCGTAGGTGCCTTGAGAGAGCCATTGGGATGAACAACGTACACACCTTCGACGCTGGTGGTAATAGGCTTTCCCTAGGCCGCTCTCAAGCGCTTGGACTTGAGGCGTGGGTTATTGAGACTTTTCCAACGTTCCTATACTCAACGGTAAAGACGCTCATGATCAGCAAAGAGGCCCTTGAGTGTCCTATTTGCTTAAACGAGTTTGAAGACGCTGAAACACTGTGTTTGATTCCTAAATGTTGCCACGTGTTCCATCCTGATTGTATAGATGCCTGGTTCCGTTCTCACGCCACTTGTCCTCTCTGCCGCGCAAATCTCGTCCCTGTACCGGGAGAATCGGTTGTTTCTATCCAGATACCCAGTTTAGCCAATGACACTCCCCGTTCCGAATTAACAGATGATAATCGGATTACGATTGACTCAGTGGCGTTGACCTGTAACCAGAGTATGCCTCGTATTTCTACCAATTCTCTTCGGACAAGTCAACATGAGGAGAATCTCGAACGATTCACGCTTAGGTTACAGCCAGACATTCACAATAAGCTCTTGGACTCGAGCCTTTCAAAAGGCCACATGACGTTTCCTCAGATGATGAGTTCAGCGAGAGGGTACAGAACCGGAAGCCTAGAGGCTGATGCAAATTATTTCTACTATGAAAGGTTTGACCAAGATGGTCGGTCAGACCGTAGATCATTCTCCATAACTCCTCCATACTAGACATGTTCAATCAAATATGTCTACAGGTGGTAGTGGTGATCAGGTGCATATTGATCAACCAAAGGGTTTGCTACTAGTGATGAAATCACCGTTCGATCGTTTGTTTCTTGGAAAGAATATCATATGTAAACGTTCGTTTGATCACCCATCGCTCCGGCCATGCTAGCCCATCTGTAGACCAAGTTGTGTAATTGTTTATTTGAGGAAGTCTAACCAAATTGTATTGCATTCTTGATTTCAGTTTTAGCTTTTCGAAACAAAGTCTGTTGTTTGTATTATTTATTTTTTTGTTCTTTCCTTCTTTTTTTTACAACAATATAAACTAAAATAGATATGTGCAAATCCGATTCGGAAAACCAAACCGGAGGCATAGAATCGACATAAAACATAGCAGAAGAGGAACTTCTAACACCTCGTGCAAACTTGTCTGCCACTAGATTTTGACCTCTTTGAATATGTCGGATCTTGAAAGTAGGAAAAAAAGTCTTACTTCGTTAGAATTCTTCCAAGTGTATAGCAAAAGATGGCTATTCTTCAAGTGATGTCACCATCTCCAACAATTGAGAACAGTCTGCGAAAATTGCACCAACCAAAATCAGACCGAAATAAAAATATGGTTTGGAATTGGTTATACCAAATAAACGATATGAATGATATTATAAAAAATTGTAATATATATGGATATGGCTATGTTATTAACTGATTAAAAAGAATGAAAGAAAAAACGAATAATCAAAATAAAATCGATTGATTACATTTAAAAAAAAATAAAAACCGATTGATTATGTAACTATATAGTATAAGAAAGAGTATTTACACAAGTTAAAATATTGATATAATCTTGATTTGAAACTTCTTTCAACGACTAGAACTTTATTCAATTGTATCAAAGTTATACAAAACTACATACCGTAAATTATTGCACAAGAAGCTATTTGCACAATATGCTGAAAACAGTACAAAGAAATAGTATTCACGAGGCGTCTTGGTTGAAAACGCATTACTCGCTAACTAATACACATATCCATGATATTTTTTCCGATACCATCTTGCTCCAAAACGATATTTTTGCCTTTTTTGCCATAGTCGCTTCAGTAAAACTGTTGTTTTCTTTAAGAAAAAACAAAGTCAAGTAGCTTAATCTTCATTACTCTGATTTTGTATTAACTTTGGTGAGTGTAAGAGTTTGAGAGCAAGTTATTTTCTGAAACTTAACCCATTTTTTCATAAAAGATACAGAACACATACATTTACAAACTTATATGAAACATCTACTTTTTTGTCTAACTATTTCAACTGCTCCCACTAACACCTTAGAGCTCTAGCTTAAGCCATGTTTACACAGAAAAAGTACAACAACTACTTTGACACTTAACTTCTCTAAACCAAACAACAAGACATTATAGTTACCTTGAATCTTCTGGTTTGGTTTGATTACAAAAATGACATTACTCAACACTCCCACTTGTCATTTTGTTAATCAAACCAAGTTGATCACGAAACTTCTCAAACATCTTTCCTCCTAGCGCTTTTGTGAATATGTCTGCCATTTGCTCCTCGCCTTTGCAATACTGCAGTTGAATATCTCCATTTTTCTCATACTCTCTAACTACATGATATTTGATCTGAATATGCTTGGTTCTTCTATGTTGGACAGGATTCTTGCCAATGGCTATGGCTGATTGACTGTCGCAGTAGATGGGAACTCCCACATGATCATTGAACTTTAGATCTTCAAGTAATCTCTTCAGCCATACTGATTGATTTGCTGCAGCACACAGAGCCATGTACTCAGCCTCTGCTGTTGATTGAGCAATAGTATCTTGTTTGCTTGTTTGCCAAGAGAAAATTGCAGAACCGAGACTGAAACAATAACCTGTAGTTGATTTTAGATCTTCTTTGCATCCTCCCCAATCACTGTCTGAGTATCCAACCAATCTTGGTTCTTTAACTGCTGTAAAATGCAACGCCATATCACTTGTTCCTTTTATATATCTGAGAACTCTTTTTGCTTCCTTGAGATGTCTGCTTCTAGGTTCCTTCAAGTATCTTGACAAGTAAGATGCAGAAAACATAAGGTCTGGTCGAGTGTCTGTTAGGTACAACAGACCTCCCACTAGACTTCTATAGAGCTTAGGATCAGTGAACTCTTCTCCATCTTTCTTGACTCTTGCTGTGAGGTACCAGTGGTGTTTTCATGGTCTTGCATTCCTTCATGTTAAATTTTTTAAGTAGTCTTTTTGCATAGCACTCTTGAGAGAGTGATATTCCCTCTTCATCTTGTACAATCTCCATACCAAGAAAATAGTTTAGCAAACCCAAATCAGACATCTCAAACTCATTCTTCATCAATGTCTTGAATTCTTCAATCATGTAATCATCATCACCAGTAACAATCAGATCATCAACATAGATGCACACTATCAGAATCTTTCCGTTGACCTTCTTAATATACAGAGCATGATTGTTTTCACTCCTCCTGAAGTTTTCTCTCAAGAAGAAGTTATCTACTCTACTGTACCAAGCTCTAGGGGCCTGTTTAAGACCATAGAGAGCTTTATACAGGCGCAGAACATGATCTTCTTTCCCTTCTTTTTCAAAACCAAGTGGCTGCTCATTATATATTTCTTCTTCTAGATGCCCATTTAAAAATACTGATTTAACATCAAGTTGATATAATTTCCACCTTTTTTGAGCTGCCACTGCAAGAAGCAATCTGATGGTTTCATGTCTTGAAACAGGAGCAAATGTCTCCAAGTAGTCAACACCATACTGTTGTGAGAAACCTTTAGCTACTAGCCTTGCTTTGTGTTTTATTACTTCTCCTTTTGCATCAGTTTTCAACCTGTATATCCATTTCACTCCAACAATGTTTTTGTTCAGAGGTCTTTTGACGAGTTCCCAAGTTTGATTCTTTTCAATCATTTGTATCTCTTCCTTCATTGCCTCTCTCCATTCTTTGTGTTTCACAGCTTCACAAAACACTGACGGTTCTTCAAAGCTTGAGTAACAACCTTCACTTACTGCTGAATACTCAATGTCGGCATATGGAGCACTTAATAGAAGATCATCCATTTCTCTAGTCTTTCTGTTTGGTGGACTTGAGCTTCCTTCGGGACTGTCTAGTACTCTGTTTTGTTGATTTGATCTTTCCTCTAGGATGGCAGATACCTGGTTTGGTGAATAAGGCTGAGTGTTTCTTATTTCTCCAGGTTCATCATCATTTGGTTCTGGTTGAGCAGTTCTTGTACCTTCTTTAATTACTTCTAATTCAGGAGATACACTGAGATGTTTGATAACTTCTTTCTTGTCCCAGTCCCATCTGCTTCTTTTTTGAAATATGACATCTCTAGAAATATCAACTTTGTTTTCTTCAAGCAAAAACACTCTGTATCCTTTTGTTTGAGAGCTATACCCAACAAATATCGCCTTCTTTGATTTGTCATCCCATTTTCTTCGTTTCTTGTCTGGGATGTGTACATAACATACACTTCCGAACACTCTCATGTGATTTACTGAAGGTTTTGTTCCATTCCAGGCTTCTAGAGGAGTTTTACTTCTGAGAGCTCTTGTTGTAGTTCGATTTTGAACATACGCTGCGGTGTGAACAGCTTCTGCCCAAAACTTCAGAGGCAAGTTCTTGAGTTTTATCATTGCTCTCGCCATCTCCACCAAACTCCTATTTCTTCTTTCTGAAACTCCATTTTGCTGTGGAGAATATGTTGCAGTCAATTGCCTTTCTATCCCATTCTCTTCCAAAAAGTTTGTAAACTCTTTAGATAGATATTCTGTTCCACGATCTGATCTAAGCTTTTTGATTCTGCAGTTAGCTTGATTTTCAACAAGACTTTTGAACTTCTTGAAGGTTTGGAATACCTCTGACTTTGCTTTCAAGAAGGAAACCCAAACCATTCTTGTAGCATCATCAATGAAAGTGAGAATGTACCTGCTGCCACTTAGGGATGCATTCTGCATTGGACCGCAAACGTCACTATGGATTAACTCAAGTCTTTCTTTTGATCTTGTTTCTGATTCCCTTGGAAATGAGTTTCGACAGTGCTTGCTGAGAATGCAGCTCTCACACCCTTCTTGGTTAGTGTTGAGCTTTGGTAAGCCTATCACCATCTCTTTTGCTTGCATGATCTTCAGGTTTGTAAAGCATGTATGCCCAAGTCTATTATGCCACAACTCAGCAATATCATCATTGGCAACCATTGCTGTCTCTTCTTTGGTAGATCATTTGATGTGGAAGCTTTTGTTCACCATTGGAATTTCTCCTATCTTTCTTCCAGCTTGATCATGAATAATGCACTTACTTCCTTTGAAGGTAACTTGATACCCATTAGTAATCATTTGAGGGATACTGAGGAGACTTTTTCCAAGTTTGGGAACAAGGAACACATATCTAATGATTCTCTTGCCTTTCTTGGTCATCACCTTAATATCTCCTTTTCCTTTTGATATCATCACAGCTCCATTTCCAACTCGTATTGGAACATTTATGTTTGTGTTGATCCTGACAAAGATCTTCTCATTTGGTGTCATGTGATTTGTACACCCACTGTCAATAAGCCATCTCTCTTCTTCTACTGTTTCTTGTTCTTCTTGTCTTGCTGTAAACAAGTGATTCTCAACTTCTTCTTCATTGTGGTTGTCTTTGTGACACCACTTCTTCTCCTCTTCAGTTTCTTTCTTGTTCTTCTTGAATCCTTGAACCATTGCCTTGGCTTCTTTGTCCTCAGATTTTCTTCTTGCTGCACCCTCTTGGCCTACAGCTTTTGTTTCATTCACAGTGGTTCCATAGATTGAAAGGTGCTCTGATACCATGTTGTTTTCTTTAAGAAAAAAACAAAGTCAAGTAACTTAATCTTCATTACTCTGATTTTGTATTAACTTTGGTGAGTGAAAGAGTTTGAGAGCAAGTTATTTTCTGAAACTTAACCCATTTTTTCATAAAAGATACAGAACACATACGTTTACAAACTTATATGAAACATCTA